AGCGCCCCTGGGCAAAATCAACTATACTGCAAATGCTTACTTTGCGTAATGGGTTGAGCCGCCCCTGATATTGTATTACATTATAATATTATCAATATTATATGTATATATACACTATATATTATATTATTAGCATATGGCATATGCCACAGTTTAACTCATTCTTTCATCTGTCCTGAAATTTCCACACTTACATTTTATTGAATGTCCTCGAATTTTAATATTTTAAACTGGGACAAAATACTCTCATTCAATTTTTTCTAAGCATCACAAGAATGTAGTCACCCCAACCAAATTAGTAATTTTCTTTTTTACCCTATGTTCTTATAGTTGTTTGTGCCTTCAAGTTCACCCCAATCTATGATGACTAAATTCTAGGGTTTTATTGGCAGGATTTATTCAGAGGAGGAGTGCCACTGCCTTTCTTTAAGGCTGAGAGCATGTGGCTTCCTCAAGGTCCCCCAGTGAGGATTGAAACCTGGCTCTCTTGGAGTCATAATCCAATTCTGTAACTACCCATCCTCTTTGAATACATCACATTCTCTACCGGAATCTGAAAACGCAATAACGTGTAGTTGTGTGCCTTCAAATTGCTTCTGAATTTTGGTGATCCTGTCATAAGATTTTCTGAGCCCAAGTGTGTGTTACTTGCCCATTAGATGTACATATAGTCTACCTTTTAAAACTCTTACCCAACTTTTCTTTCTCCCTCTCTTCCTCCACCTCAATGAAGTTCAAATTTAAGATGCTTGGGGCAAGGGTCTTCATGATACTTTAAAGGATTTTTTGAAACTAATGGTAGTGTTCTAAGTAAAGAGGACAAGAAAGTATAGGGATAGCAATTGGCCGTGTCCTGTCCTAAATATCATTATAGATTTGTCCGAAAGCAACTCTGTCTAAATATTTTTTATAAAACATTCTATTGAAACATATCTCCATCTGTGTGATTCTTCATAAAACATGTTCCTATAGGAGAGAAAGAATAATGGACTAAATTTTCTCCCTGCTGCAGTTTCTCAAGACGTTCTCATAGTATGAAGAAAGTCTTCCCACTCTTGACTCAAAATTTCCTTGCCCTCACCAGCATGTGGTCTGGGCAGGGTGGGGACAACCAAGGATCATCCTGCTATGTTCTCACAGCAAGATTTATTTTATTATTTATTTACTTTACTTGTATACCGCAGTTTCTCAGCCCAACAGGCGACTCAACGCGGTTTACAACAAGGATAAAAATCAGACAAAGATATATGATTTAAAACCCTCATAGCATGGTATACAATATTAATATAACAGTAAACAACACAATACATCAAGATGCATCATGATGATGACTTCATCCCTAAGACTTTTGAGGGTCTGCCAAGAGATCCAGTAAGTTGCCAGGAGGATGACAGCAGGTGCACCATCACATGCCAGCTGTCAGAGTCCAGCCAGAAGAGTCTCAGTGTCCTTTGCCCTCACTTGGCCACTACATGGCCGAGGAGGCAAGAAAATGGAGTGTCTATTAGTAGGTGGAAATATTGCCATGTGTCTTCATTTCCAGGCAAACCTATCATAGGACGTTCTGTGGATTTTCATGACTGAGCGGGCATTCAAACCCTAGTCTCCAGAGTCACAGTCTAACACTCAAACCACTGTGTCACACTGGCTCCTGAACAGTACTTTGGGACTATTCAAAGATTCAGAAGGAGTATACAAAGGGCTTCTAGTTGAGAATAGGTTTTTAGGGCGATGATTTACTTCCTTTGGATTCACAGGCACCTGAAAAAACACAAATTTTCTCCCTTTTCATTTATTTTCCTCTAGTCTTCAAATATTTTTACAACCTTACCGATGTGTTTGTCCAGTTTTGGAAGTACAGCACTAAAGCATTTGTTTGCTTTGGGTGTTATTAGGTTTCTTCCACTTTGAGACTGTCTTCATCCTCAGTATAAAAATGCCCAGTGTCAGGCATGTAGCCACCATGAGAATTTCGGGGGGGGGGGGGCCCCCCCCCCCCGAGATTCTCATGGTGGTTCGCGAAAAGGCCTTACTGGTGCATTATTTAAACTGTTATGTTTATTCATATCATGATCTGATCACCATACTCAATATATCCCATATGCATGGGGTATTGGGGTAATGATACAAAAGGTTTGCTAGGCTAGACCCTCTTTCACTCAGACTCAGCCCCCCCGAAACTCAGCCCCCCCGAAACCCCCCCCTGAAAAAAATTCAGCCCCCCCCCCCAAACGAAATCCTGGCTACGGGCCTGCCCAGTGTAATACTGTTTTGGCAAAAATATCAATATGGCTGAAGTCCTTCTTTCTCGAAGTTGACATCGTTTGTCATATATGCATAATCCTGTTGGTAAATGGCTTGCAGAAAGATTCCAAAGCGCTTTAGGTTAAGTAGAACACAGGAACGAATCTACATATTTAAAGAATGCATGGGAATATTTTGCTTCCAGTTCATGGTGGGAACAAAAAGAACATTTCTGGTCCCTCGGGAACCAAGAAACACAGCCAGCCAAAGAACATGAAAACTGAAAGTAAAGTGCAATGATTTTCCAAAATTGGAAAGCAGCCACTGAGTAAACACTGTGTGGTATATTTTGTAGCCACAGAATAAGGTAGTCATACTGTGAGACCACATGCTAGAGAAGAAACAATGTGCATTTCTTTATTAAAGTATTTTAATGCTGCTTTTCAATTAAAGAATCCCAACGGAATTTATAATAAAATTAAAATAACAAATTATTCTTTATGTTACCATATGCCATTGTAAAAACACATGATGCTCTCCTATTGGAGAAAAGAGTGGCTACATTTGAGGTACTTTTTCCAATCATCAGTCAGCGTTTGGTCATTTGAGCTGGCAGAGCTAATCTCCTTGGTTAGATGGCAAGCCAGAATGGACAGCTGTGCCATGAAGATGGTTTCAAATATCCTCTATATAGTAGGGCAACTTGTAGGCTTAGTCCACACCTGATTCTGTTGAGTTTCATCCGTGACTGCACAAGTCTCCAGCTCTCAATGAGCAGTTAGCCTAGATAGATTAGAGTGAGGGATTCCTCCCCCAATTTCCTCAAGCAAGCTTATCTTAAGAAGGGTCTTAGAAGGGGGGGTTGTCTTACTCATCTTTGCATATCACTATCTCCTCCCCCTTTGAATACTTAGCAATGTGATCTCTTCAGGGAAAAAATAACCTCCTCTTTAAAGGTATTTTTATTGCCCTGGTGAGGCCATGTGGTCAGAATTCTCCACATTGGCCTATTCTTTCTTCTTTTGTCTACTCTAGAGTGAGAAGGCATCCTGCCATTGTCCAGGCAAGATGTAGTAGATATAGCTATTTTATTATTTCCTCCTTATCCTCAGAAAATAGCTCAGTGAAGCGAGTTATCTCCAAGAACCTTTCCTATCCAGAATGGATTTCTTTTGACTTTAATAAACATATTATTTTTAGAACCTATGAAGTTGTGGATCTGCAATCCGGTTCCATCCTGTTGAATGGAAGCCAATTCTTGCTCACTAGATGTAATTTTCTGCTGCTTATGAACTGTGCATCTGGCACTCTGCTATATTGTTATGGACTGATCCCCAGAGAGGGTTATTTTGAGCCCAACAGCTCCTGATTCCCAACAGATTCTTCTCCCCAAGACACTAGACCTACCCAGTAAAGTAGTCAATAGTCAGATTGGGTAGTAATTGGCAAGAGTCCTGTTGGCATCAAGACCAAAATATGACTCCTGCCAGAGAGCAGCATTATTTCCAGTATTATTGAAGTGACAAGTTTAGTCACAGGCAGAGTTTTTGCCAAGAAAACATTCCTAGGCAGCAGGCACAACCATCTATCCTACAATTTATCTGCAACTGTGACAGGAAAAGAGAGTGCTTGTTTATAAGAGCTCCACTATCGCCTTTAGCTATGATTTACTTTAAGCAGAAAAGAAGCAGAACCAAATTCCTCTACATAGCCTCTTCAAAATGCTTCTGAACAGCTTCTGTGGCCCAAGAATACCTTCTATTCCTAGCTGTAATATAGCTGTTAGGAAGAAAACTGCATTTGTTCAAGCGAGACGTAGTTCCATTCTAAGTCCATGTTAGGATATTACCAACAGAGAGAGAGAAAGAAAGAGAGAGCCCAAGGAAGGAGGTGGGAGAAATTTGAACAGTTGAAGCTATTTGTTCAGATTGTTATTCGAAATATTTTGGCTCAAAGGTGAATTTTATTCTGGTGCTCAACGCGATGAGACCATTATGTTCCATGTCATTCCGACTTCTTTGTGTTCAGCATATACATCTGAGAACTGGGAAGCCCAAGAGAGAGGAAGCAACACTTTTACAAAACTGAACTATTCTACAAGTGAACAATCATAGGTTGGTAAACATTGGGACTATAACATTAAACATTTTGGATGCATGTACATTGATACCAGTAAAAAAAAAAAACAAGGTTGAAGCAATAGGTGTGCTGCTGTTGATACTTTGATTTAGAATTACTACCAAGGGATGTTTTCCACAGCACAGATTAATTGCTAAACCTAGGATGACAGCACTGCATGGGATAAAATATGAAAAGGATACATAAATACATCCTGCATTGAATTCACAATCAAAGGCTACTGGTGTTACAGATATAGACAAAACCGTGAGTTGTAATTGCAATAAATGGAAAAAGGGAAAGATTAATACCTGTGACATGGCTGCAGCCCGTAGACAAGCACCGAGCTAGTAGTCTCCTCCGTTAAGATCCAAATTCCACAGTAGCCTGCTTAGTCTAACTTATATAGACTCTTGCGTGAGGTCATTCTACTGGGTCATCTTCCCAATCTAGTTCCTGAAGTGTTTGGGGTTGACACAGCCTTGATGCTGAGAGGTTTATTCTTAGCAGTGACTGGAGATTGTAGCATTTACCGAAGAGTATGACTGGAGTGAGAAGAACTGAACAAGTGACAAAAGAAGACAGCTGGAGCAGCAGACCTTGTCCCTCTTCCCCTCTTAAAAAAATCTTTCTTCCAAGGGAACCCTCTGAAACTTTATTTATAGATTTAAAGGGCAACGCTTTGTGTTGCGGATGCTGCTTGTAGGCTGCAGTATGTAAAACTTGATGACGAGACAGAGAAGAATGGAACACTAGTGGCAGCAGGACTTCCCAACCCTGTCTTCCTTATAATGCCAACACAGTAGGAACTTGTGAAATCACAGAGAAGATATGGCTCAATTTATTAAAATAATGCATATTGGAACAAATATACAAATTATATTGGGGCAATTTATGAAGATAATACATGTTGGGGAAATATATAAATGCCCCTCCCCCCAACTCTGGGACCAGAGTAAAGAGAGGGATCCAGGAAGATATTGTATTTATTTTATTTATTGTATTGTATATTACTTGTAAGCTGCTCTGAGTCCCCTTCAGGGTGAGAAAGGCAGCATATAAATGTCATAATAAATAAATAAATTAAAAAATGCATATTGGAGAAAATAGCAACAACAACAACAATTGCTGTTCCAACGTGCCTTCTCAGATTAGGAACCCCACTACCAAAGCCCAGAAGCACTTTAGTAGAGTTAAGATCACCCTCACCGCACACTGCACTTATATTTTAATCCCATATCCCTCCGACACTTCAGCACTTTTAATCCTGTACCTTACTCCTGGCCGGCTCAGTTTTTAATAATGTCCTGTTGTACTGCTACTGTTATTGTTTTCTGCTTTAACTGTTTTATTTGCTATGTATTGTATTGTTGTATTGTGTTGGGCTCCGGCCTGTTGTAAGCCGCATCGAATCCCTTGGGAGATGCTAGCGGGGTACAAATAAAGTTATAATAATAATAATAATAATTTTATTGACAGTATGGTTGAGTATTCTGTTTCCATAGCGAGTGGAGAGAAACCCTAACTTTGTCTATGTTCATTAATTTTTGCAAAAAAATAAAAATAAATCCCCAACCATTTTAAAATTGAACTACCTTCCCCAATTGCAGTTTATTTAGATAAATACAAGTGAGGAAGGGACTTGGATGAGGAAAAACAACTTGGAACAACCTCAATGAGACAGATGTCTTGTTGGCCGCATGTATTTCTAATATGGATGATTTCTACCTGTCCTAGATGGTTATTCCCTCTCCCTGAGAAGCCAAGTGAAATATTTTTTGTAGGGGATTCTCCTGGTATGGGATCCCACAATAAAGACACATCAATTGATTTAATAGTCATGGGATAGTTGAGTAAGGCTTATGGATTGAAAACTGGCAAAAGAATAGGAATCAAAGTGTGGAAAAGTTGAATTTGGGGGAATCACTGTATTTTGTGAACCCAAGCTGTGGTCTTCTAGGGCTAGATTTTTTTAAAAGCATTTTAAATTTCATTATATGTAAATCCCCTGGATCTAGAAAATGATAGGCTGGTTAACCTATCATTTGTTCCAGGTAAATTGGTGGAAAGTATTATTAAGGATGAAATCAACAGTCATATAGAAAAGCAGCTCTGTATCATCATGACTTCTACAAATATTAAGACCCCTTTCATTAACTTTTTAGGGTTCTTTGTAAGTGTTGGAAAATATCTGGACAGGACTGATATGGTAGACATTTTTATATTGTGTTATGCTGCTGTTTGTTTTTTGTTGTTGTTTTATAAATTTTAATATTTCTTTTTTTGTTTATGTTGATCGGGCTTGTCCCCATGTAAGCTGCCCCGAGTCCCTTCAGGGAGATGGAGGCGGGGTAAAAAAAAATAAAGATGTTGTTGTTATCATCATCATCATCATCAACTGGACTTCCGGAAGACTTTTGGTGAAATCCCAAACAACAAACTTCTCAACAGATCTAGCAGGCTGAGAGATAAGTCCATTTTTGAATTGCAAACTGACAAAATAATAGGAAACAGAAAGGAGAAATAAAAGGTCTGCTCTTACAAGGAAGCAAGTGAACAATGAAGTCCTCGGCTATCCATACTGTAGCGAAGTGGCTAAATTTACCAATGACACTAAATTGTTTAGAGTGTTACAAAATCTGAAGAACCCCAAAAGAATTTTACCAAACGAGAAATGGACAATAAAATGACAAATGGGGCTGAGCATAAGGAAGTGTACAAAAATGTATTTATAGAAAAGGTAAAAAAATCAATATCACCTGTGCACTGGCAGGGTCTGATCTGGCAATAACTGGCCAAGAAAAAGATCTAGGATTGTGAATATATTTATCAAGATGATGACCCAGTGGGCAGTTGTTAAGCTGAACTGTATGCTGGGTATAATTAAAAAGGGAACTGAAAATAAAATTTCCAGTACTTTACTATAGTAGTCTTATTACAACTAATCAAGGATATTCCAGAGCAGGAAAAGGTAAGGGACACCCAAAATGATCAAGGAACTAGAGAAGGTAAAATATTTGGGACTTAGCTTAGGAAAAACGCAAGTAAAGGGAGAAATAATAGCAATAGATCAAATAATGCATGGCGTGGAAACAATGGGAAATAAGTTTTTTCCCCAATGCTAGAATCTGGATCATCCATTGGAGTGGATTGTGAATGATTCAGGACAGATAAAAGGAAGCATTTCTTTGCACAGCACAACCCACTACTACAAAGTGGGGTTATGGCTGCCAAGTTAGATGGCTTTAAAAAGGGACTGGGCCAACAAAGATTAAGTCAGGGTTGCTGTCTATTATCTTCAATTTCAAAGGCAACACGCCTCTCTGTCCCACCATGGCACTACTTTTCTGTTTGGATCGCATGTCTCTGGGAAGCAAGAGGCGATACTGATGATGGCACTGCTGTTGGCAGGGTCTCCAATATCAAGCATGTTTTTGCCGAGGAGTCAGACTACATTTGCCAAACAGTTATTGGGCAGGATTGTGTGTCTGTGTGTAGAGAAAGGGCTGGATAATGGTTGAGGATCCTTCAGAGCACCTTAGGTATCGCATTTTGAGAGCAGAAGGCAGCTGACATTATATCACTGAAGACTGCACTGCAGGGCTAGAAACTAGACTTGATAGGCCTTTGGCCAGACTTAATGTGGCCATTCGCAAGCAAATTACCTCTTCCTATTCTAGTAATGATTAACAATGGAAGTTCTTTTATTTGGCATTTTACAAATCTAAGAGCTGAAAACCCAAAGTCAAGGCTGTGTACTTTGATACTGTACAGAACAAAGATTTGTCCTGATTGCATTCAAGGCTGAATTAATCTGCCAGCACAATCCAGTTCCCATTAAATAAATAAATAATAAATAAATAATACATGCAAAATCACTTGTGAAAACTGCCAGAGGTGGGAATTTTGTTTTTTCCCACTCTCTTCACCATTCTTGTCTGGTCCTTTGATAAGCCGCTTCTGTCCCCTTTTCCCCACAGGTCCCTTGGGCTTGGCAAAGGCTTGCTTGAAGATGTGCAGCCTTTCACATCCCTAAGTACCTGATAATAGGAGTAGAATCTTTTCCCTTTTCTCTGCAAAACAAACAGATCAAGGCCCGGTGTACTGCCACAGCCTGCCACTGCTACATTGACATAATTACAACCGACCACATTCCCGCCTTCCCTATTGTACAGCAGGGGAAGGTATCAGATGGAAGAAGCAGATTTTGCTATCTCCCATAAGCATTCTGTGGGAAACTTAAAATACCATCACAATAATTGCTGTTATTGCTCGGGTACTCCAGGGCTCCACAATATCAGCAAATAGTATATGTCTGTTAAACACATTTCCAAAGTTTCAACAACTTTAGCAATGCCTACAACAAATTAAAATACTCCAATATTCTAATCATAGTTGAAGTCAAGAAGTGATTCACATACATTTTCAAAACTTTATTGTAAACCGTTATTCAGGTACAACATAAATCCCTTCCTTTAAAATGAAAAACCATCCATTAAGCGTGATGTACAGAGCATCATAGTTTACTTCTTTAATCTCATAGGGCTAACTCCCTTCTTCATTTTGATCACCCGAAGAACATATAAAACCCTGTATACAAAGGCATAGATTCAGACTTGTGCTCAATGGAGGTCTGCTCATAATGAGGTGAGCAGACTTCCACTGAGATGTTGGTTGATATTCAGCAATTCCTCCTTCCTTCTAAAAACCAGTGTCCCCTTGGAGTCTGCCCTGGAGGGGTTCCTCCAGCAGGACTGGAAATGTGAGAGGTGGTGCTGGAGAAAGGGGACTGGTGACAATCACTTTTCCATGCTCTTCTTCCCATTTCATGGATCCTAACCAAAGAGAATTCCTAAAAAATAATACTGCTTGAAAAGAATAGAGACTTCTCATCCTTTAACCGCAAACTTCAGAAGTTCAGGTACAGTACAAGTCCCCTATGATCTGATGCAATTAGATTTGAGTTCATCGTGGCGGTCATTAGTTTTTGCATTAAAAAGCTGCAGGTTTGCATTAGGGCACAGATGCTCAGATTTCAAATAGAATTTGGATCAGCACTCTTTCCTCTTCCCTACTTCCCTTCCAACGAAGCATAGTCTGGGCAATGTGTATAGGTGAATGCCTACACTTTGCATTGTTCCCACTTGGTTCATATTTCAATGAGTATGAGGGCTTTTCCCTGAAAAGAAACTTTTCACATATTTCAACAGCAATATTTATATTTACTGAGGATTTTTTAAAAAATGAAGACTTCAGGATGATCTCAGCATTTCCAAATAATTATGCTGAACTTCTGATGTCATGAACAGGCAATGATGCAAATCCAACCTGTTTTGTTGTTTGTTTCAACATTCAGCAAAGGGAAACTACTTGCTTGTTTTTCAACTTTAGTACTGTGCTATATGTTTATAAGTGCAATAAAGAATAGAATTAGTCACAGTAAATCCGATCAGCAACTTAAAAAAATGAACACAGACTGAACTGTACCTGTTCATATACCTGGCAGATGAATGCTAAAGTGGGCAGAATTACTGGAGAATAATGTACATTCTGCTTTCTTTCTCTGTCAACTCCAGATTTCCGCAATTCACTGTCATGCTGGAGGAACTAGAGTTTTCTAGAGAGTACACCTCTTTAGAAATCTCTAGGTCCTCCAATGCGATTCTCTGGTCAGTTTCCAGTGGAAATTGACCAGAGCTATGCTGGAAGACTTAGAAATTCCTGGAGAGAATTTATCAGGTTTTTAAAAAGCAATTTCTTTATTCATTGTTGTTCACTTTCAGAGGGGTCCTGTGCTCCTAACCTCAGTGAAGGGGAGGGCTGTACATTAAAATGCTAGGCATCAAGAGAAGACCATGTATGTCATGTTCTGATTTACAGTTTTAGGAACACAGTGTACTTCATACAATAGCAGGGATTAGTAAAGTATACAGCAGTGGCCTGCCAGTCTACATCCACACACTGCAGGGACATTAAACTAGCCACCTGCACAGTCCTGCCTCTTTCCACTTCCTTGGCCTGTTTAGGGTCTGGTTTCTCAAAACTAGAAGTGATTGTTCAGTCTTGGGTTTTGGGGGAGTGGAAGAGTGAAATGCCCTACCATACTTTTTAGAGGGGACACAGTTGGCTATTTTTAGGGTAGTGGCTGAGAGCAGGAGCAGCCCCCCTAGGTCTTGGGTTGGGCAAATGTGGTCCCATTCCCCCGGATGTTACCCATACTCGATATAATGGCTGAATGCTCTGTTAGCAACAGAACACATCATTCACCAACATAATGATTAATGTTCTTAAGCACAAGCAATGTGCATATATTTACATTTGATGTTTTAGATCATAACTTTGGTCCGTAGTTCTTCCTTCCATCATCCTTTCAAAAATGAATGTTAAACATACTTGAAATATAGAAAAAATAAGAAAAATCAGCAGTACCAGGATTTCCTCATCCTTTCTTTACATCTTTGAGTTAAGCTGTTCTATGGTGCCTGATGTTATTGAACAAAAGCAATAAATATCTGAGGTCTACTTAACATTAGAGTACTGGAACATATTTAAGGCTTTGGATTCGTTGTTAGTTAAGGATTTCTCAACTCAACACTGTTTGAAATAGACGTTTTACTGAACAGAAGCCACAGGAGAGAATATGAGTAAACCAAGCTTTTCAATTTGGTCAGTTGTTATTAGCATAAAAAGGTAAAAGGTACATGACAGATGTTCATCTCTATTTGTTTCACTGCCTCAAAGAAAAAGTCAGTTTTTCAATTCTTAGTACCGCTATACCACTAAACTGATGTTAGTATCTGCTTGATTTGATAAATCATATCTGTTGTGTGCACATAAGGAATTTCACACAGATAAGACAAAACCTGCTTCAGGGTACAATGCTTAACAGAATAGTAATTCACAGAATTAGAAATGTACAATTAATATAAAAACAAGTAAGTTACAAGTCAACATTGATCAAGGATATATCCCATCCTCAGAACAGGGGTGTTTCCTAGTTTCCCCCTATTTAGTTAAACATTGGTTTCCCTTTTTTAAAACCTGAACACCCACAAGTAACAAGATATTGCAAGTATGATGTAGTGTAAGACAGCACTGACCACTGTGTCGCTCTGAACATGTATGGTCTACGAAAATGCTCTTTATGTAAAGCTGGCCCCAAATACCTCCTGCCCAAAGAAAATAACAAGGTGATGCTTCTTCCTACTCTGTGTACAAATTTCTACCAAACCAGTAACTGAACCCTAGAAGGACTGTGTCCTCCATCATAGTTGAGGTAGCAGGCTGCCCCGGGGGTTACAGGGGAGGTGACATAAAACACCTAACACTGCCACACAGCAACCAGTTGCTGTTCCCCATCCACACCGCTGCATCTGCTGAATGGTAGGGTTGACCCTGTTCTTCTAGACAGCAGGTGAACATTACTTGCCACAGAACTACTGCTATCCAAATAGGGTAACAATAAAAGTAACAATGGTGCCATGGACTTTTGTCTTCTAAGGCGCAGTGATTTCCCCTCCCCTTCCCCCAAAACCAACAACCTGTGCAGCTTACCACATTTAAGGCAGACTACACTTATAAAAACTGTAAAAAAATATCTCTGAAAAGTTCTGAGCTCTGGCCAGTGAATATGTTTTAAGGCTTGAAAGACAGTCTGATATTCAGACAGTTTGCATTTTTTTCTGAAATCACTTTTGCTGTTTTGTAACTATCAGAATATTCAAAAGCACATGGAGTAGATGAAATTACATATACAAGTATTCCATTGAGGGAAATTTCCAGTACCCACAGATAGAAAGCAGCAAGTACAGTAGAGTCTCACTTATCCAACCTTCGCTCATCCAGTGTTCTGTATTATCCAGCGTAGTTTGCCTTGCGCTGTTTCAATACACTGCGTTGTTTCGGTGCTAAATTCGTAAATACAGTAATTACTACATAACGTTACCATGTATTGAACTGTTTTTTTCCTGTTGATTTGTTGTAAAACATGATGTTTTGGTGCTTAATTTGTAAAATCATAATGCAATTTGACATTTACTAGGATTTTCTTTAATCCCTCCTTATATCCAGCATCTTCGCTCATCCAATGTTCTGCCGTCCCATTTATGTTGGATAAGTGAGACTCTACTGTACTTAAAACTAATGGAAACAAATGTTTGTCATGCTATACACCTATTCTGTTCTTGCTTAAATGAGATAGGCATGTTTTTTTTTCTCCTTTCGAGAAAACTGGGAAGCGATGGTTAGTGAACTTTCGGACAGTCAACAGAGAAATAATGAGGATTAGCAAAAATGCTCTTCAGAGGGCTTAATACAATAGCATTCATAGCTATTGGCTACATGATGAGGTTGTAATATTAAAGAATTTTTAAAGGAATGTTGCCTCACTTTTGGACTCGTTGAGAAGCAACATCAGAAGTGTGCTTGCAAGTACTTAGGAAGCTAACATGATCAAAAGTTTCTTCTGTGTCCAACCGACATACAGAAGAAACAATGTTAAATGTTTGTTTTTTATATTAAAGTGCACAGGACTGCACATACACAGAGGAATACCCAAGTTACAGATGTCAGCAGTGGTGAAATCCACCAAGTACTGTTGCCACTTTATTACATTACGATTCAGGCTTGTCAAACACTTTGATACGAGGCGCTGTATATTTATTAGCCACTTGGTCACCATTTCCCTTTGTCAGCATGTTAACCTCCTACATGAAACAGAGACAATGACAAATAACGTTGTTAAAGTTTGACCTGTCTGTCACTCACAAAAAAGTAAAAGCATAATTTTCTTTCACAAAGAGAATCCATAAATATCCCAGTATGAAAATATAACTTAAATATAAAAGTTCAATCAGGTAACAGGAACTTGGAAGGAAAAAAAATATTTGTCCATCCCAATAGTTCCATAGGTATCCTTAAGTAGTAAACTGAGATAAGAATATTAAGTTACAATTTGTAACCACAAAACTATTCTGATCTAGGAATATGCTGCAAAAGTCAATCTTTAGTAACAAAACACACTGATTCAGATTCTGTTAATCCCAATGTCTCTTCCTTCAGGAACCATTGTTGCCGTGATGATATCCTATGGCCTGTCTTCTGCGAGATTACTCCAAATCTCCTTGGTGACAACAATTTTCGAACACATGATTAGAGGATTCCCCTTGCATATTTTGGTCAGTGTATTGATAGTGCAATTGAACAGGTAGCTTTTCCCACTTTCTGTGTTCCATTTATCTGTGCTCCATTTCTTTGAGTCACATTTTCCAGGCAACAGGAATAATGTTCCCAAGTAAAAAACCACTGACCATGAACAGTTTTGTCTTAAACCTGCAAATCTACAGGCCACATAATCTGGGTCATACAGGCAGACCAAATCGGTGCTTCTTTTTTTTAACAGACTTTAAATTAGTTAATCTACGAAGATCCTCTTCGACATCTGATTCTTCCATTTCATCATCTGCTGAAATCAGGATCTACAGACAAAATTATATATTATTAGATGAGATGCACTTCTCTTTCTTTCCTATCAGAAGGATTCTCAAACTCACACTTTTTACAAAGAGTCAGTAGCTGCTATTTGCTTTGTTTTCTGCAGATTGGTATCCAGTTGCAACAGCATCACCTAGAGTAGAACCCCACTCTTTCCCATTTCAGGGTCTTATCACTTTGTTTGTTTGTTTGTTTGTTTATTTATTTACTTTATTTGTATACCGCAGTTTCTCAGCCCGTAGGCGACTCAACGCGGTTAACAAGAGCAAAAATTCAACATACACTATTTAAAAACAATTAACACTGTTAAACATATTTTGGTGCCTCAAATGGTGCCTCAGAAACAGATAGTCCCTGTTTCTGGGACTATCTGACCCACTGATTCTAAAAATGGCATTGGTTTCCCCCTATCAGCTCTAGTTTTTGAGATACAAAATATATGCCATCCATCTCTTCATCTGCACACCCATAGAAAATCATGATATCCACCATATTTAAGAAATTTGGGACAGCTCAAGGACAGATGTTGCTGTCTGTCCAATGCAATTTTCTGAATCAGTGCTCCGAATAACCCCAGGAAACTGCAAGTTTTTAGTTGGGCTGTATAATCCAACACTAAAGGTTTGTTTTTCTCCAGGCATCCTTCATCAATGTTGGTGCTGCTGAAAAAACACATTTTCCAACTAGAAAGAAAGCCTATACACCATAGTTGATCTCCTTGAGCTGTCCCAGGTCTTCATTTAACTAAGAAATTAACTGTTTTCAATTAGCTTCCTATTGAATAAAGACTTCTCCCGGGCCTAAAACATCCCAGCAGAGAGCTAAAAGATCAAGAAGTTGTATTTATTGTGAAGTTTCATTCTGGGATGGCAGGAGTAATCCACTACAATAGGGTTCCTCCCAGTAGGGAGCAAAAAGATGGCAGGTTCCCACCACCCCCCATCCCCAACTTCCTGGCAATGTGTGGTATTTTAGGGTCAAAACAGGCTGGGAGGTAGGAATCAGTGCAGAGTTCCTCTGAAATACTGAAATGGGTCAATGGTAGAGGGCGGTGAGAGAAGGAGATTTTAATTGACTTCATGACCAGAACAGTTCAGGGATCCCAAATAAACTGCACAGCTCAATATGAAAAACTTAGGAAAATATTCATGCTACTGTGGAAAAATGGAAATGAAACAATATTAAATGCACTGCAGCAAGCAAAGGAGTGAACTCAATAAAGAGTAAATACAAGACTTGCCTCTGACTCAGATTCCTCATGTGAGGCTGCTCTCCTGTATCGAACTTTGCTTCCATTCCTCGAATCTTGCCCTGGCTCTTCAAGTTTAGCTTTTGTCTTCCCTTTCTTCATAAGGAAGTTATCAACTACCCAGAACATTAATGCCTGTAAGAGCAGAAAAGCCAAAGTTAAGTGTTACAAATCTATCATATACAGGAGGACAGTCAGTTTCGATACTTATAATTTAGGCCAATACCCTACAGTCTATTAATGGACACACACACACACACACATACTGTAATTATACTGAATCCTACAATTACATAACTCACTGTGGGGTTCATAGTCATGAACTCATCCATTGAGCAAAAGTTGTCCATAACTATGAAGCCCAAAGTGAGAGAGATCACCGAGTATGCCTGCAAATTGTATGAGCTACTGAAAAAGTAACCATTTATCTGAAATATACCCCAAATAGATTCCAGAATGCTTGTTTAAATATATGACATTATATTAGACATTAATAAAGATGGCTATTTTAAATTTAAGTTCATTCCAGTCAGTTCTTTCTCAGATTCACATAGGGAAATGTGCAGTGCAGATAGCCCCAACTTGATTATCCACCATGTTATACTTGGAATGATGGGAGTAGTAATCTTAGCACATTTGACAGATGCCAGGTTAGTGTACGGCATTTCCCAGGGATTGTACCAAAACAAATATAATGCATTCATTTGTGTCTGATGTAATTCTAAGAAGAAGAAATACCAGGTGCTGTAGGCTATATGCTCACTTCTTAATATGTACTGGGGTTTGGTTCCCGGACCATCTGTGAGTACTAAAATCCATGAATGGCCACATGTCATTATAGTGGTGTAGTAAAATATTGTCACTTATATAAAATGGCAAATTAAATGCTTGCTGTTTTAGATATTTGCAAGCCATAGATGGTTGAATCCATGGATGTAGAATCTGTGGATATGGAGGGCCAACTGTAGTTCCAAGGAAGGCAGTGGCAAACAAGCATTCTTTAGCTAAGGAAACCCTAAAACATTCATAAGGTTGGCATAAGTTGACAAGAAACATGAAGGCACATATACGTATTTTAAACAGTATCTATAGAGATTAAGGTTGGCGATACCACTTGTAAAAACTCAACATATTACCATATTTACTTGAATCTCATTATCACATTTTGATACATTACATAGCCAAAAGTGAGTTGTGCATAAGATTTGGTGACACATTAGAATCACACATGTAAGCCTGTCTGCGCCCCAATGTCAGGCCAAGGCTGGCGAACTCACCAGCCTTAGCCTGCCGGAGGGGCACAGCTTCCCAACTGGTCTCATTGACACAGTCTTCAAAATCTCTCCCAGAGTTTCGAAGGCCTCATGAATGAGGCCTTAGTTAGGAAGACACACCCGTCTGCCAGGCCGAGGCTGGCAAGTTTGAGGCAGGCAGCAGAACGGCCAACAGGTAAAGGAGTGCTGTGCATTACATTCAGCAACAAATCTTTTTTTTTTTTTTACAATCAACACCCTCAAAATTGAGGTGTGCATTACAATCGATATCATGTTATACTTGAGTAAATATGGTAGTTATGACATAATATTAACCTCTAATTTTTGTGATTATTTGTAGCTGAATTATTTGTTGGATCCAATGGCACAGGTCTACATCTGAATCCAACCATAGATATTAGTATTTTAAAGCAGTGGGAAAAATATATATATTAAAAAAGATTCTCATTCATACTAACATTTACAAAAAAAGGGACTATCAGCATGACAATTGCCAACTCTAGGTGAGGATTCTCTATTGGGTTCAATAAAGCTACCTAGAAAGAGAAAAACAATAACAACATATTAGTATCATATAAATCATTGACCTCCTCCAAATTCTCATTTGCACAATATGTAATACCAGATTCACAGCATGTGCCACATTAGTACGGACAGTAAATTTTTTACATAAATATTATGACCACATGATTGTTTTAAGTGGAAATGCAAAGTTAAGAAAAATGTAACTGTATTCATCCTACTCAGCTAGTTTCTTTTCATTAACCGAATATTAAACACTATGGTTTAACTCAAAATGCTGTTTTGCCAATAACAAGTAGACATTAATATGGTATGGATGATTCTCAAGGCTATAAACAATACAGGCCCAACTATCAGAGATTTCTGCTGCTGGAACTTCATTGGTCTTGCACAATATCGGCTTTGCGTTTGTTTGGGGGTTTTTTTGTTCAGTGGGAGGTGAGTTATATGACAGCAAAATACACATTCACAAGATTGACTGGTTCTGGTATTTTGTATGACTTACAGACCCACCCTTTTAAGGTCAGTTGCAAGATATAACCCAGGTCTGTGATCGGACCATGTTTACGATTTGGGAATTTACCATCAACCCAAACTTTTTAATATGGAGTGTTTCTTTCCATGTATTCATTGTGTCTCCTGCCTCTCATCTAAATGAGCACAATCATTATCGGCCTAGAAATTATGTATGAAGATGTAACTGAACACATGGAATCATATCAGGAGTTCACTGATAAAGACTAAAAGGATTTCTTGTCAATTTAATGCATTTTCTATGAGAATAGTACAAAAATTGTATTAAAGGCACAGTGGTTCTTTACAACTTTGAGGAACTACAGATAAATTAACTATACTGACATTTTATACTTGCTTGGGACAATGTGGCAGCTGTTTGAAACAGCCACACAGTCTCAAAGAATAGACAAAACTGGAGGAATTTTCAGAATCTTCTTCCCTATTCTTCCCTCCTGCAGCTATCTAGACATTCTCAAAACCATTTCTAAAGTGTTTTTCAAGCATCTGGAGTTGGTTTGGGGGAAGAAGTGGAGAGAAGGGAATGTATTTTTTCCTGCTTCCACTAGATTCTGCTGTTTCACCAGATAAAGTCAAGCTGCTAAACAAGTACCAAAAAATAAAACTAGCCTCAAGTTTTAACATTTGCCAGCCAATGTCATCTTTGTCTAACATACAAAATTGACCATACCCTGCAAATAAACTACTGCCTCATAGCCAAAGATAACAATGAATCAATGAATATTTTCATTGTCTGTCAGCATGAAGTGCTAGTCATGTTAAACGGAAGCATTGGACATTATCTGACACATACAAGAGTTAAAAAAAAGCTTCAAACCTCTTTCCATTGAGGTATCAAAAGAACTATAATAATGATGGTTTTCTCAAACATCATGATTACAATGTACAATGCACACTGGCCTACCCAAGCACTGCACTGCAGTGGGTCACCTGCAAAAGAAAAAAGAATGATTAACAAAGGTATCTGATAAACATACCAGATATTTTTAGTTCCTATACTTAAGTAATTCACAAAATGCAACTTTGTATAGGAAAGTTCAATGTTGATTGACTTAAGGGAAGCACGGTGACACATTAGATTATGAAAAACTTATTTCCTATTATTTTATTTTAGAGAAAAACAAGTGCAAGAGAGAATTGTACACATTTATAAAACTATACATAGTGTGGAAAAGTACTGTATATACTCGTGTATAAGCCAACCCGAATATAAGCCGAGACACCTAATTTTACCACAAAAACTGGGAAAACTTATTGACTCAAGTATAAGCTGAGGGTGGGAAATGCAGCAGCTACTGGTAAATTTCAAAATAAAAATAGATATCAATAAAATTTCATTAACTGAGGCATTAGTAGCTTCAATGTTTTTAAATATTTACATAAAACTGTAATTTAAGATAAGACTGTCCAATTCTGATTAAACCATTATTCTAACCTTCTTTAATGTAAATGTGCTTATGTATCCTTCCAATTATAATAAGAGTAAAATAATAAATGTAATAAAACACTAATAATAATAATAAAGTTAAATTATAAATGTAACAACAACAATAATAATAAATAGAGTAAAATAATAAATAATCTTGACACAAGTATAAGCTTCTAGTGAACATGATAAGGAGTGCTAATACTGCCTTAATATCCTGTTTGTGGACTGCTCATACTTTTAGAAACTTAATCCCTTTGAGAAACGTGATTATGGACTTCAATGTGGGTTTCATCTGATGTAGAAGGGCTCTCATGTCCTTAGGATAGAACTTCATTTCATAGACTGAACATTGAATCAACTGCACACCTGATTCACAGCACTTTAAGAAGCCCACCTTCCTTCATCTGCCTTGCAGGATTAGATGCCAAATGCCTTCTTGAAGGACTTTATAAACTAATCAGTATTGCCAGCAAATTAACTGATATTAAGTCTGAATTAATTCTCACGCTACTAATTATGCTCTGTATACAGTACTCATACAAAGCAAAGTAAGTAAAGTGTCCTTTTAAGATGCACATTGTATTCTCTCTTTTTTGTCTTCAGTGAAGATATCAAATTCTTAAACATATTTTGCTAGAAATATAGAAAGCAAACTAAGCAAAGTGTCCTTTGAAGATGCATGTTGTATCCTCTTTTCTCATCTTCAAGAAAGATACCAAATTTTCAAATATATTTTGCTTCATTAATTAAATAAATGAATAGTAGTGCTGTTTTAAAAGACAGAGCTGAAGGCATTTTCTGAAGTTTTCAAATCACATGCAAATGAAATTGCTTATTTTTCTGAAGGTAGAACTAGAACAAAGTACCAATAGTAAGATAAAGCCTGTAAACAAAGATCGATTCACTATGTGGTTTTTAATATGAAGACTACAGCTACTCTTTATGATATCTCATTCTCAACTTTCAAGTTAATTTTATGGTAGCTTCAAATACAGACTAACAGCTGAGCCTGAGAACTGTGCAATGGAAACTCAAATGCCTTTAAACAGCTGTAATGTGAAATGAACCCTGACCATTTCCTTTTCTGGCGAAGCTTTGAAAGACATATACCAGACATTTTACTTGCTGGTCTTGAAGTTTATGATGCTTTTATATCAGTGCTATAGACATTAGAGCACTCAACATGAAGTCTTGAAATTCCTTATAAAAGTCATGAAAGAACTTGTGCTTAATGTTGTCTATGGATTCAGTATAAAAAGTTAATTACAAATCATTTTTAAAAAATCAATAAAAGTTCAAGCCTCTCTTGTGACAACGCTGTAGCTCTGGAGAATACTTCCAGATCAAGACTCACAATGCATTCAATTCAACGGTGTTTCTTTAGAAAGCCTTGACAGTTTTAATATGCTATTAACGTCTTCTTTGCCCCGGTGTACATTTTTATGTTGATGCATTTCATGTCCTTTTGTCTATTTTTACCATTGTGTGTCAGGACCCAGTTTCCAGAGCCTTGGTTTTGGCGCCGGAAATCAGGGTTCTGATGTAGGACGCTGATAAGACTGTTGCAGCTGCTGACCCTGAAAGACAACGGCTGGCGACTTGGCGGGGAATTTACGCGGGGTTTTGCACTTGGCGGGAAGGACATTTTCAAATGAGGGGGAGGGTATATATAGAGAGCACAAACTGACGCCAAGCAATCTCAGCTTTTTTGCATGTTATGTTTCTAGTAGTAAAGTTCCCTCTGATACCAGAATGTAGTCCTGTGTTTTCATTGGGAGCTGATGTTGTGAGATGACAATTGTGTTTATCTTTCTATTTGTATTGCCTTCTGTCTCTGTTGTAAGTTGCTCTGGGTACAGAACTTGTTAGTAGGGCAAAAAAATACAGTGGGATGATCAAAAGGAAAACGAAGACATTTCATCCTCACCTCTGACAGAGAAGTCACTTTCCCCATAAAGAACCACATAATATTTGAAACAAGGGACAAAAAATTGCATCGCTTCCTCTCGTGTCTTTCTTTTCTCTTTTCTTTTTTTGTCTGTAGACAAATCGTGGCGACTTACAAATTAGAAAAAAAATGGTTCTGATTGAAAAAGAAGAAAACCTCCAAATTTCTACTCTTTTTGGCAGAGATCAAAATTACAGATGGAACTCTGAAACTAACTCTTAAATTATATTCTCTTATCCCTTCCTTTCTGTTTATGTACACTGTTACTCTGCTGGCAAGGTTCTGTCTTCTGTTCTGTGTCATAGATAATAGGGCTTATTAAATTTAAGCATATTAAAATATTACTTAGGTGTGAGAAAATTGAAATTAATCTATTTTAATTATTTATAAGTATATCTGACCATTAAAACAAGCATAATTGTTTTAATGGTCAAGGATCAACACATGAGGCTAATTCTTCCTTCTATACAACACATCGCTAAAATTTCTGTTGTATTATCAGATTATCCAAAACAGGCTGTATGGTGCTAAAGAAATTGTAAAAATATATAGATGGACCTGTGTAAAAGAGACAAATCTAAAATTGTAAGGAATGAATGTGTGAATGTATGGAGAAGAGCTGAAGAAACAGGCCTGAAGAATCAACATGGAGTTCGCACAAAGGATGATATGGGTCAGATTTGACAGATGAAGCGAGGAAGTAGTAAGTCATAGCTGAACAACAATGGACAATGAGGTGTGCAGCAAGGCATGTAAGGAGTGTGTAAAGATATACCTCATAAGTCACGTGGCCTGGAATGTGGATGTCCTGAACCCACAAGAATGTAACAACATATTCTTAGAAAGAAAATTGACTTTGGCCTATAAATGCTGGGGACGCCAAGATTAAGCACACTTCCTGATCTGCAGCGTCCACACCTTCTCAGAAGAAAGCTGATCATCTTCATCTGGAGAAGGCCTGTGTATGTGAGTATGTGTGGATGTTTGGACACAAGAGCTCTGTCTTGATGTGATTCTGATATAATTCTATGGTGATTGTATTTCAATAAATGTTACATGAATAGTGTTAAAACCAAATTTGGTCTCTAAAATGTCTCATTGATCTACACTGTCTTACTATTCCTTGAACACTTTGTGTAAAAAGAACAAGAACCTTTTGGGGTTCATAACAAAATCAATGAATACACTACTTATTTAAAGTATAAATAACAGCAGTTTTCTGGTTCTTTCCACATTATTCTTTTCTCTTCCAAAATAGTATTCTTTATATTTAAGACAACTGTGAACACATGACACATGCTAAACTCAGATTCTCCCAGTATAAATAACATCAAACAACGATCCAATATCTTTTGCCCAGGAAAGCAGCTGTCCTCACAGCTGACAATATGAATATGGAAGAAAGGTTGATGTTTGTAAAATCAAGAAGAGAATGCTCACTTTCCTATTTAAAGGCAATTATAAAAATACTTTACATTGGGCAGCAGCTTAACCAGTCTACTTCCACAAATACACACAATATGTCACAGCTTTAATACAAAGTTATTTTTCCTCTAGTGGTTAATACAGCTGAAATCTGATGGGGTTCCTGAATGCTCTGAGTGATCTTCTGATGAAGACAACTAGTAATTCTGCCATGACCCCAGTTCCCAGTGATGTGTGAAAGGTTACTAAAATAAACCACTCCTTAGTGCCTTCCTTTAGTATGACCAACAACAGCTATTTCACTTCTACAATGCTAAGGCCAATGGCAATAACCAATGGTATTCCTCCAGCTCAGTTCATAGACTTATGAAAAGGATGTATTAATTAACTCATATTACTTTATTCAATAGTTAGAAGTATGGAGGAAGACAGAGTTAGAAAAGTTATTTTTGGACTGCAATTCCCATGATATTCAGTACGGTTGATGGTTGATGACCACATTGACAGGGGGGTTCTGTAATTTGTAGTTCCAGAACATTTCCATGTTCTTCTAGAACAGTGGTTCTCAACCTATAGGTCCCCAGGTGTTTTGGCCGACAACTCCCAGAAATCCCAGCCAGTTTAACATCTGTTACGATTTCTGGAAGTTGAAGGCCAAAACATTTGGGGACCCACAGGTTGAGAACCACTGCTCTAGAACATTTCCACATTCTTCCAGAATATTTCCACATTCTGAAAGAACCTACATTTGAAAAAAAAAAGAATTCAGGCACTTCAGATGGCATTTCTACAATGAGAAGAGCAACTTGAAGTAGATTTTCAAAACAGCTAGTACAACTCTAGGCTTCAGAAACTTTAGTATGTTAAGTAGGGGTTACTACAAGCAAGTATGTATATGGCCCCACCCCAAAATAATTGAAGCATGCCTCAAAACTTCCTAGATGGAGAGGCAGTTCTTTTTGACTAGAGAAAATAAATGGCTAACTTCTAATAGGGCAACAGCTTTTATGAAAAGATTTAGATCTACTCAGTATATTACTCAGCATGCTGTTTGTTGTTTATTCATTCAGTCACTTCCAACTCTTTGTGACCTCATGGATCAGCTCACGCCAGAGCTCTCTGTCAGCCATGGCCACCCCCAGTTCCTTCAAAGTCAAGCCAGTCACTTCAAGGATACCATCTATCCATCTTGCCCTTGGTCGGCCCCTCTTCCTTTTTCCTTCCATTTCCCCCAGCATCATTGTCTTCTCCAAGCTTTCCTGTCTTCTCATTATGTGGCCAAAGTACTTCATCTTTGCCTCTAATATCATTCCTTCCAGTGAGCAGTCAGGCTTGATTTCCTGGAGTATGGACTAGTTTGATCTTCTTGTAGTCCAAGGCACTCTCTGAATTTTCCTCCAGCACCACAGTTCAAAAGCGTCTATCTTCCTTCGCTCAGCCTTCCTTAGGGACCAGCTCTCACATCCATATGTTACTATGGGGAATACCATTGCTTTAACTATGCAGATCTTTGTTGCCAGTGTGATGTCTCTACTTAGTATGCTGTTATATCAAAGGCCATTAAAATGGTTTCTATATGGGCTGCTTTTAAATATTGTTTGGAAGCTTAATGGAATTCAGAAGACAGATTTATTCCCTAAAACTAAATAAAATCTAACTGCTAGTCAACGAGAGTAGATCCACTGAATCAATGGGACTTATATAAGTGTTAGCTTTCCATGCCTCTACTAAGCATAACTACTCCATTTGGGAAAAACAATTTTGCCGCTCTTTCATTTTTTTTTCTTACAGTTTGTACAGTGTGAGTATCCTTTATCCAAAATACTGGGGCCAGAAGTGTTTCGGATTTCAGATATTTCTGGATTTTGAAATATCTGTATTTATGTGTGTGCATATAATGAGATAACCTGTATTTGCAAACTTTATCAGTAAGTTATGTGCCTTATATTGTGTAGAAGAGTGTACAATTAATGTAGCTGGACTACTAATTTCATTCGCCCTTGATAATAAAACCAATGGTGAGGGGAAAATGGAAGTTGCAGGCCAACATCTGGAGGACCACACATTTTCTGTATTTTGTGTATAACACTAAACTTTGCTATAGTAATAGTTGGATCAATTATACATTTAACTGAGTATCTTAATATTTTCAGAGAAATAATGTTTATGATGTTTACACATCAGCCTACAAAGGTTTTATCTTAATTTTCTCCCATTTCCTATGTCTCTTACAGTCACAAAGACAAGGTGGTCTATGAAACAAGAATCTAGAAAATAATAACTAGTGACTAAAACAAAAGGTTAATGTATGGAATTCCACAGTACTTATTTAATGCAACTCACTGGAAAGTGCATCATCTAAGAGAAAATTCTCACTAACAATAAAAGTAGCTGCTCACAAGGAAATGTCTACTTCAAATACTGTTGAACAGACCAAGCTTTTACAGAGACTCTTCAGTTTGCTTCAAAGCAAGTTCTCTTCTCAACTAAAGATCTTATTTTAATTACAGCCAATTAGCTGAAATGACAAAGTACATGTTTGCACTGTCTAAGCATCTGAAGGAAGTATCCCTCATTTTAGGGAAAATCATATTTGTTTCAACAGAACCCACTTTTCTGCAATATTACATACATGAATTTCCCAGAGCCTAGGCTATAGAAGATCTGCATACCAAGTGTGGCTTTGAGATTTCCCCATTTGGAAAAAACAAAACAAAAAAACAAAAGACTTTGAAAAGTTCAATCAAGACAGTTGTATAAACCATGTCATCTTAAAGCTTTTCTGCTTGGGGCCCCTTTTCTCCCAAGAATTATTTTTTATGTGATCCTGTGTATATAGGTATAAAAAAATTGGTATAACAATCAAATATTTACTGATAACAACTTAGCATTTGCAAGGCTTGCTAAACAGGCTGGTTTCCTTTTTTTTAATTAAGTACAGCTGAAGCATCTTCTACAGAGTCCACTGTAAACACAGCACAACAGATTTGTGTAAATGTCTTAAACAGCCACTAGCTGATGACCAGAAATCCTTTACTCTGGCCAAATTCTTGGGATCCCAACATTGAGCTAAGTGTTCCCATTAGGGGTTGGGAGCTGCTTTTTAAGAAGTAGTGATTTAAACTACTGTCCACTAGGTGAATGGATAGTTACTTCTTCAAACAGTTTATACAAATCTGTATACTATTTTTTTTTCTTTTTAGAGATTGATGATGAAAATAAGTTGCCATAAATATTTTCTTTTCCTTTAAACATGCCCCCTTTCCTCCTTCCTAATACATTATGTGCTCCTTAGACATAAATAATAATGCATTTTAAAAGCATAATAAATGAAATAAAATATTAAAACACAATTGAGTTTAAAATGCACATCAATACAAAATATCTCTCTCCCAGCTTAATCAGCTCTCTTATTGGAAGCCAATCAATTGTGAAAAACCACTTGAATAGTGAAGATCTTTGTCTGCCAGCAAAAATGTAACAACAAAGAAACCAACCTGGATTGGGCAGGACAAGTCAGCTATAATTCAAAGTGAAATATATATATATTTCAAAGTCAAAGAACTATTTGCATTAATTTTACCGATTGAGGTGCTGATATGTGTTCCACATAGAATGTTATATAGATTTTCTGGAAACCTATATAGAAACACAAGACCATATTTTGGCTGTCTGAAGTTATCTGAAGGAATCTGTATCTTTGAGGGGGTTGGGGGAATTGTTCCACAATTGCTAGTATCTGTTGCAGTTTAAAGCATACTAAGGATTAAAATCCTTACCATATTCACCAAAGCGAAGAGATTCCCATTGCTGCCATTCAACAATGCTGCCTACTGCCCGTATACCAGCATAAATAAGCAGCATTCCTAAGGTGGCATCCAACAGAAAATTGATAAGGTACCTAAGTTGATGAGAAAAATATGCAAAAAACATCTGAGAAAAGACATATTTTCAAGATATGTAGTGGTTAAAAAAGACACCATTATTACTACTACCCATGATCATGACCTTGAAACTGACAGTGGATGCACCTGCACTGTAGAATTAATGCAATTTGACTCCACTTTAACTGCCATGGCTCATTGCTATATAATCCTGGGAATTGTTGTTTGGTGAAGCACCAGCGTTCTTTAACAGAGAAGCCTCAATACCTTGCAAAACTACAACTCCCATAATTCCATCTCATTTAGTTATGGAACTTAAAGTGATATCAAACTGCATTCGTTCAGCAGTATAGATTAACCATATATTTTAATGCTTAATGCTCAGAAGATTAGGTAATTTTCAGATCTGATATTCTTGCTCTGTAAATATGCAGAAACTCAAGACCTATTTAAGTTGGAGACACACACACACACACACACACATATATATATATAGTAATTGTTTTTGCTCATAATGGAGATTAGGTAATTTTCAGATCTTCAGATCTGATATTATTGCTCTGTAAATATGCAGAAATTCAAGACATATTTAAGTTGGAGACGTATATATTGTAATTGTTTTTGCTCATTATGGAGATAGATTTAATACCATCCTATTGGTTAAGATTTCAGCTTCTTATTGTTCTTCTCAACAATGATACAATACAGAAATATACGTATGTTTCCTCTCCTCTTTTGCAGTGTTCTTCTACTGGCTTTCTATTGAGACCAATACTGTCTGGATCAGGTAACATCATTTATTTTTATATCCCTAAACTGGACAGTTTTATCTTAATTGTTATAATTATCTTTGTTTACCTTTTACTTGGCTGGCAAGTACAACAGTCCAGGTGCATTACTCTCTTCACTGTGCTTTTCCCCAGATATATTCCTCTACATTATTTTTAATCAGTATACACTTTCATGTTAACACTCTTATATTCCCCCCTTCCGATCTTGAAATTAGCAAAATCTGCACACGCAAAAATAATATCCAGCCTATAACATTTTCCAGATAAAAATGAAAAACGCTTTCATTCTATGTAAGAACATACTCTTGTACTGCATGTTCTGTTTTCACTTCTCCCAAATTACTCCACTTAGCAATTTAATAGATCTAAAGCACTTTACTACTTACTGTCTGAAAGTACAAGGCTAGGACAGAACAAAAGCAACAATCCAGAGTCAGTAAGGCAAAACTGAACGAAAAAGTAGACTAAAGGCTCTATATACTTCCTCTTTGATCTAAGAGTTGTAATATGTATGAAACCTATGCATAAGTGATATGTATTACTACTTGTATTTGGAGTTAAAGGCTGCAATATTTTGTTAATTAACTGATTGAATTAATGAATTTTAAGCTTCATCCATCCAGCAATGCCTTTAACCATACCACAACTTTAAAAAGATTAATGCTAGTATAACAAAATACTGTGCTACAGATGGGTTTAGGTACACTATAAAAGACTCCACCAGAGGGCAATCTTACCTTGGGAGATAATATCAATATGTGTAGTTGCTATATTGCTGATTGCCCATCTGTTTTTCAGTTTGTTTAGCAGAACCGCTGCATAGTGAGGAATACAGAACTTGACAATGAAAATTTCATTTAGGGTCCTAAATGTGAAGTGTGCTATGAATTTTAGGGAAAGCATTAACCTCATACTAAGAGTGTTTTAAAAACATATCTATGGCCGCAACTGTTCCCACCAGGAGTTGTAGCCATTTTCACTCCTAAAGCAGGTTCTGCCTCTGCTTACATTGGAAAAATAGCATAAGTAATGCAAACCCCTACACTGCTTAAATGTAAAGCTGCGTATAATGGAAAATCAGAAAACATCTTTGCTCTTTATAAATTGGACCTGAATAAGATGACTCACTCAAAAATGAATTACTTACAGTGAACAGGGGTCTTCTTTAGTAAGGTCTGATAAATAAACATTGGCAAAATGGATGAACAACATCCCTATGGCTTGTTTGGATGTATCCAAAAACCTACAGAAAGTTTACAAAGAAATAATCACATTAAACATGAATGGCACAGAACCCATTAGAACAGTGGTTCTCAACCTGTGGGTCCCCAGATGTTTTTGGCCTACCACTCTCAGAAATCCCAGCTAGTTTACCAGCTGTTAGGATTTCTGGGAGTTGAAAGCCAGAACATCTGGGGATCCACAGGTTGAGGACCACTACATTAGAATATCGTGAAGTTTAGAAGAACAATATGTCAGTAAAAGATGTTTGAACAGGTTTGAGAATAGTTTCTGCTTGCCTAACTACCTACCTTAGCATCAGATTTTCAGGTTTATCTAACTAAAGGAAGGGAAAAACATGCATATGCTCCAAATTCATAAGGACAATTAGTGGGCAAGATCAATTTTGCATCTGACACTGGTGTATTTCGTTCAATTTCCATTCCAGTTAATGCCTTGGTTCATTTCTTTTCTCGAAAAATAACTGGCTGAATTTGTGAAGGTTTGTTCAATCTTATTTGTTACCTTCCACATCTTGCATTTCTGAAAACTTTTACCAGACCCACCATTACCTCCATCTATAGGCCACATTCCCATATATGGGACGCTTCCAATTCTTCACAGATTAATGACACTCAAATCTTTATAGGCCCTCACCACCTATTCTTTAGGGGTTTGTTTAAACTTAATGGCTAGTTTTAAAAAATTTGAAGATTTCCCTTCACTTTCCACTCTCCCTGACATCACCGGGATTGTGGCGCAGCTGGCTGAGTGTCAGCTGCATTAAGATCACTCTGACCAAAAGGTCATGAGTTCGAAGCCAGCCCGGGTTGGAGTGGGTTTCCAACCAATTGTGTAGCCCGTTGTCGACCTTTGCAACCTGAAAGACAGTTGCATCTGTCAAGTAGGAAAATAAGGTACCACCTTAAAGTGTGAGGAGGCTAAATTAACTAACTTATGAGGCCATTAAAAAAAAGACCAGCAAAAAGCATGCGGGGAATGTGGAAGTACTTCATCAGTGTCGCAGATGGACGATGAAAGCGACAGCTCCCCTGGCAGCCAGAAAAAGTTAAATAGCCTCTGTCTATGTCTGTATATGTTGTATGTCAAAATTGGCATTGAATGTTTGCCATATATGTGTACACTATAATCCGCCCCGAGTCCCCTGCGGGGTGAGAAGGGTGGAATATAAAAGCTGTAAATAAATAAATAAATAAATCTGTACTTGTCACTGAATAGAGCAATGGAAGACACTGGAGAAAGGCAAGACTGAGTAGTGTAAAGAGAACTTCTAAGAGCATCAACTTTACTGTCTTGATGGCAATTCAAGTAGTTTGCATGGGATATGGATTGGCTGCCAGAGAGTTCTCATAGCCATAATCTATTCAGAGGAAGGGGCCAACAAAATTAGGTCTGGCAGTAAGAGTGCAAATTGAAGCTAATAAAGCTTTTAATGGTCTTTGGGAACAAGACAAATCTTTGAGGAATTTACTTCAGAATTTCTAACAAACTGTATCAAGACAAAGATAAGAATATATATCACCTGCTACATTCTTTTCTGTAAAAACAGCTAGTCATTTTTTCATTAAAAATTTCTAGCATATGAACCTACTATTGTACCTCACATTCAGAATTAGCTGCATGAAGTTTGTTGGACAACATAAGAATCAACAGTTGATATTCATGGACATCTTTGCTTTCATGAGCACACTAATTAGGTTGCAATTATGCACTTCTTGTATTACATTACCCAAAGCCTATGAGGTAACTATCTAGGAAAGAGAATGTACTGTAGGAATCATATTTAGCATTCTTACCAAATCCTCCAAGGACGTCTTTCATGTTTTGGTTCTCTGAAGCGTTTCACTGAAAGAGAATTAAGGATAATCATTGGATTGCCAAAATTACACCAAATTAACCATATACTCTGCTCAGGTAGATTTGTCATAATTGCCCAAAATGTTATCTTCTGAAATATTATCCATTTTTCCAGACAGTATTTTTGTAGGCTTCCATATGCTTACAAAAAGCATATGGAGGCATTCTAGAATTATTTGTGCTTTCAATACCAAATATCAAGGTTAGGCAGCTTAGTAGGTTCCAGATATTTTAAACAACAATTCCCGCCAGTTCCAGCCTTCATGACCAATGGTGAGGAATGATCAACATTATAATTCAATATATCTGGAATCACTGGGGTTCTTTTTATTAATACAGGACAGTTTACTTTGCACTGGTCTTTAGGACCTCTACCAAATGCTTTGCAAAGTATTTTACATACATTTCTTTTGTATGCTGCCATACATACTCCGCTTCATTGAGTATGGTGCAAAATTGCTGAAATTTCTAATTCTATTAAAAACAAATGAGGAAATGTTTATATAATAAAATGAAGGATGGGAGTAAAGTGTAAGGCAGCTTAGAAAGAAATCGAAAAGTCATTCTAAAAGCAACTACATGGTGAAAGGGAAAGTGCTAATTTTTTGAAGCAGTGTGAACTAGTATGAAAATTAGAGAAAAGGTCTCAATTTGCTCAGTAACTGCAAAACCCTTTAGTTAACTGTCTACACATCACATAACAGAATGAAATGTCTTAATCAAGAACGTAATCATATTCATTCAAAGTAAATTATGTAGAAGATAAGAAAAGTAGTAAAACAAAATAAGAAGCCCAAGTAAAAGATTTGAAGAAATGCTGGAGGAAATGATTAATCTGAGCTGTATTGAGATGAAAAACAGAAACAAACCTATAAATACAACATTCAGAAAAGGCACATTAATATTGAACGCTTGAAATACTCTAAGGTAACACTTGTTGCAACATTGTTGGCGTTTTTTTTTTGTTTTGTTTTTTGTTTTGGTATGGTTTTGTGTCTAAAAGAAAAGATTTCAGTGGAGACCTTTTTCTCACCCTCCACAACAGACTATGCTATAGCACTGCCAGTGGGGACAGCTTTTTTTATAAATCTGGCATGACAGAATGTGAGTGTACGAGCTCTGCACAAACCCCTGTTGGACAACTTAAGGTCTTCCATCTTCACTATCCAGGCAGGTATCTAACAACCTCCACTATTCTCAATCCATTCATCTCTGCAATGAACAAATTGATCACTGAAGGCCATCAATACTGGGAGAAGCAAGTCTGGGGAATCAGAGTGATGCTTAGTGCCTTTACAGGATACAAGTTCTCCTTTACTCTTTGATCCAGAAACTTCCCATTCCACTGAGGACCTGATATTTAATTCTATGTAGATGGTATTTTTTAAGTAACAGCTCAGAAGACTGCTTATTTAGAGCCTCAATTTGTATATTTGTCTGTAGGTCTAATATACAGGTGGGGCAAAATTCACTGACACAGTTTTTACAGTTCTTATAAGCTTTTTGAATAGGTTTCTGTCTAATTTTATAGAGACTGTCAGATATGGTGAAGTAGGCCTTTTTCACCAGGAGACTTGAGTCTGTGTGGGTGGGTGCGCCTACACCTGCAAGTGGAATTTTGGCAACCCAATGAATTTTGTGGGGTTCAAAAGCTAGTCACTTTCTCTGAAATGTGGTCATGCAGGGGGACAATGCAGCCACCAAATCCTGGCAGGGGCCTATTACTGCTTTAGAGGGATGTTTCCTTTGAGAGGTTTCTCACAACTATTCTTTTCAAGATGAATTCTATACTTCCACCATAGGGTTGTTAAAGACAGAATATACTTAGTGATGCTATTAATTGTGGCCTTGGTATTTTCACCCATTTATAATGGGAGAATTACAGGGAGCGGTTAAGGAGCTCCATTGGCTGCCGTTCATCTTCCAGTCCCAATTCAAGGTGCAGGTTACTACCTATAAAGCCCTGAACGGTTTGGGACCTACCTACCTCCATGACCGCATCTCCTACCACCAATCTGCACGATCCCTCCAATCCTCTGGGGTGGCCCTCCTCTCATCCCTTTCTCTATCACAGGCATGGCTTGTGGCAACGAGGGAGAAAGCCTTCTCCGTTGTGCCCCCCCCCCCAACTTTGGAATTCACTACCTGGTGAGATTAGGCAATCCCCCGCCCTTGCAGCCTTTAAGAAAGATTTGAAAACTTGGCTATTCCAATGTGCCTTTGGAGAGTTACTATCTATTCCATTTCTGTTTGTTCCATCTACAGTGTTGCCCCTATGATGCACTTTCCCCCGTCCTAAACTGAAAGCCTAACCCCACTGTTCATCCTTTTGGGCTCCTCCCAAATACACTACTTCTATTTCTACTTCATCTGGGTTTTATCATTTTACCATATCCATTTGGCCCATCCATTGTGTTTGATTTTATATTATGTTATTTTGCTTTGTTTATTTTATTTTGCTACTGTATTATGTTACTGTGATGTGATTTTTGTTGTTTGCATTTTGTATTTTATTTTGCTATGTTGTATCTTTGGGCTTGGCCTCATGTTAGCCACCCCGACTCCCCCTTGGGGAGGTGGTGGCAGGGTATAAATAAAGTTTATTTTATTATTATTATTATTATTATTATTATTATTATTATTATTATTATTATAAAATTATGGACATTTTCAAAGAAGGTACAATAACATATCTGTGATGCAAAAAACAAAATCTTCATAGTAACCAACTTTGTGGAGCTTTGACAAAAAACATGGTATGGGTTTGTCTTGTTTTGGGTTTGTCTTGTTTTCCTCATACTAACATTGTTTAGTATGAGAAAGAATGTTATACCTTCATTTATTTGTGTGTTTGTATTAGTGAGCACATCTTTTGCAATTATTACTGCTGCTTGTAGACTGAATGTTTCTTTTCTGCCAATGGCAGATCTCAAGGATTGTATTAGGCAAATTCATTTGAGTAACAATAATTTTATTGCAACTATAGTATCAATATTTATAAAACATAAATAAGCATCTGTTGACTAATTAAGCCACCTTTTATGTTAATTCTGTTCTCATATTTCTAAGTCACATTCAAGTAAAAGAGCCTTCTCTAAGCCAGTCTCAACACACTTGTATCTTCATACCAGCTCACTTCTCAAACTAGCATGGGACTAGCATGTCTGGGGTACCTAACCAGAATTTTTGAAAAAATTGTCATTTTCCTGAGACTGGAAAAGCTATTGCTTTTATGTTCAGAAGAAATCTGACTGCTTAAGAAAACGATTAAATGAATACAGCCTTTTCAACTTCCTTGCATGCATACAGTTCTCCTAAGCCAGGGCTCCTCAAACTAAGGCCCGGGGGCCGGATTCGGCCCTTCAAGGTCATTTACCCGGCCCTCTCTTTCAAGTCTGAAATGACTTGAAAGCACACAACAACAACAACAGTCAGCCAAAAGCAGGCCCACACTTGCCATTGAAATACTAATAAGTTTATGTTTGTTAAAATTCTTCTTCATCTTAATTATTGTATTGTTTTAAGTGTTTTTTGCACTACAAATAAGATATGTGCAGTGTGCATAGGAATTCATTTATTCATGTTTTTTTCTTCAAATTATAATCCGGCCCTCCAATAGTTTGTGGGACTGTGACCTGGCCCTCTGTTTAAAAAGTTTGAGGACCCCTGTCCTAAGCAATGGAATAAATGGATATTGAGATGTTTGCTAAGGTTTAGAGAGCAGTATATGAATAAATATATTAAGTATCTAAGAAAGTCTTATTCATGTAATTTCAATTTCCCTGTTGCATATTCTCAATAGACAAAATTACCTTGCTAAAAAGTGAAAAGTCTGTTAACCGAAGGAACCCATTCAGATTTATTTACCACTGCTTGCTATTTGTGTAGTTTTCTACAGGTCTTACCTCAAAGTAAGTTCTTCAAAGCAGGCCTGCCATGAGACAGGTTTATTAATTACAGTCATAGACTGGGATCCAAATAAATTTGAACATGCACAGAAAGGTTATATGTGACCATCTTCTGGTGGTAGTGCCCTTCAAAAGTCTTGTGGAAGAACATAAAGGGTCTTACAACAGGGGGAGGGGTGCTTTGCAAAGCATATAAGAAGCTCAAGGAAAGTGGGGCAATGACAATACTAATGAAGTAATACCGCAAAATGTTAAATGGATTTTGCATATAATGTAGTATTGGCCACACAGTAATTAAACTGAAACTACAACCTTGCACATAGAGAATATCTTCACAATGTGAATTTGGCTCTTTTTAAAAACAAAATTCTGTGCTGATTTCAGAGATAGATACTAATCAACTGGCAGATGCTCACAAAAATGTTGTTTGCATACATATTACTAGAATTCTTCAAAGCAAAACGAAGTTGAGACCTGCCAACAGGCAAAGTGTAAGCTGCCAGCTGGAAACAGATTAGAAAATAAAATATGAGAGCTGGAAAAGAATCTGCTGTTTTCCTGGGGAAAAATCTGAGGCTATTCCAATTCTCTAATGCTGCTTCGATGGACTACTAATCCAAGAAAATTACAAAAAGCCATTTGAAGAGACATCAGCTTTACAATACATCCAAAATGAAGTTGAGATTGCAAGCTTAGGAAGAAACATCTCAAGAATAGTAACAAGTTTGGGAGAGCAGGAAAAAAGAACTCTCACACCACATATCTGGAATGTTATATGCATCACTTTCCATTGTATATTTTCTCTCCTGACTGTAGCCTCTGGTCCTGCAGACAGGTAATACAGCAGGATAATCAAATGTTGTAGTACAGTCGTTTCTATAAGAATGAGCCACAGACATTCCTGATCTACACAATCTGTACACAGACTGTAGTTTTTACTACAGTCTATAAAGCACAGCTTGTTTTTCTTTAAAAATTATTTGGTACATTCCACTAACCAATCTATGTTTGCAATACGATCCATATTGCCTCTTCCTTTCCTATACCAAACTTGGTCAGTGGTATTTCTCACCTCATATA